CTCTCTCTCCCTCTCTCTCCCTCTCTCCCTCTCTCCCTCCCTCCCTCTACATAGCAGCAGCTCTGTGTTGTCTTCATGCTATGGAATTAGAGCTGCTGTTCTCCCAGACACATCCTGTGCTGGGGTCTGTTTGTAAGTCCAAGAGGTCTCTTTCTCTCCTTTCCCTCTGTAGACCCCACCACATTCCATCTTGGCCCTTGTGCCTGGGTGATGCTGTTGCCCCCATCCCTCCATTCCTGCATCTCCATCCTCAGTGGATGATTCTGCTAACATTTCCTCCAGGAAACTTGGCCCCAGCGGGGCCGGGCCACTCCAGGACTCTGCAGAATGCTGAAGCCTGTCCTGAGCCTCCCTGGGGCATTCTCGACAGGTGTCCTTGTCCTCTCCTAGTCCTGCATGTCCCAGCCATGTGCACATGGCCACGCCTGTAGCAGGACACACCTCATATCCCCCGATGCTTGGGCCCTTGGCCATTCGGCCTGGGTTGAGTTTGAGCTGAGGAAGGTTACACTTGGTGGTTTACATGTGGTTGGCACTGCTGCACGCCAAGGCTTGAGTACGGAGGCGAGGTGAGGAGGAAGGGGATTTGCAGAACAACGTACCATTTTTGCAGCCTTATAAATCCATCTGGAGGGCTTGGCTGGATCTGGCGGGAGTCCCACAGTTTGCTCTGTGCTCTTGCTTTTATTGTTTTCCAGGAGCTTTGAGTACCTAGAACTGTTTTTTAGGGAGGTTGCATGCTAGTTTGGGTGAGGATAGCTGGGTTCTTGGGGTGAGGTCAGAAGGAGAGAATCTCCTGCCCCTTGCTTCTTAAAGGAAGTGTGAATGCAGAGACCTACTCCAGGGTGGTCCTCTTGGGAAGATGAGAAGCCCCTGTGCCTGCAGGCATTGCCATCCATGGTGGTGGAGTGTTGGGTGCTCTGGTGGAATTGGGGTGGGCCTGACCGCAGTGCATCAGTGTGCTTGGCACAGGGTGAGGTGGGGCACTGTGCAGTTCTCAGAGGTCATGGGCCCACTTCTGCTTAGAAATCCTTCCTGCTGCCCAGAGCTGGACTCCTCTATTTCCTTATCCTGCCTTCCAAGGTTCCACTTGGTTGCTCAGATTGCAGGTTCAAATCTCGCTTCCCTGCTGGGAGAGGGCCGATCCCCTTCTCCTATGGTGGGGCTGCTGGTACGGCACTAAAGTGCCACTCAGTATTGAGAGCCTAACAGCAAGGAACACCTGAGGTTACAGTGACCTGCGTCTGTCCCATGCAGTGCAGGAACGGGGAGGGACTGAGGGGGTCTTTGCCTGAGACCAGTGGTTGTGATCTCATCCTGGGACCCAAAAGATACTCTCCTTTAGAAAATGGTGAGCTCAGTCCTCCTCAGAACAAAAATACCCTGAGTGGGGAGCTTCAGGTAGTCCCTCAGGTGGCCGTGCCCCAGGCATAGACCGGGCAGCTGACCAAGTGGGCCATGTTGCCCTGTGCAAGACCTTTTACATTAGTTTTTTGTTGTTGCTGTTTGTGTTTTTGCTATGTTTCGTTTTTATGCAACTCACCCAATTACTTTTCTGGTTGACTAGGCCTTTTTAGTCCGTGTATGCACATTTATAGGTAAATGTTGGGGGAGGCCTGGTGGGCCGGGGTACATTACATCGCCATTATTACCTGTGGGCTCAGATATCAGGTAGGCCCTCTGGGTGCTGCTTAAGCTTTGATCTCTAAATGTTCTGTGATGAACAGAGGAGATTGGGTCTTCTGGAAAGAAGTCATCCTCATCCTGTAGGAGCTGCTTCTAGGTGTGTGGACCGGGCTGGAAGCAGAGCGGAAGAGGGGCCTCACTGTTTGCCTGCTCTAGTGCCACCAACTGGACAGGTGGGGTCACCGAGTCCCCAGAAAAGGAGGGACCTGTCGTGGGCTTTCAGCTAAGATCTGCATTGATGTGAGGCCTCTGGCTTCTGAATCCAGTGTTCTTTCCTTGCTTGCTCTAGAGGAGGCATTCCATCCTGTGCACCCCACTGCCGCAGTGGTATGCCGTGGGCCTCAGTGAATGTTAGGGGGTTTGGGTTTTGTGTTTTTAGAGAAAACTCACATGAGACCTTTCGCTGAGTGCCTTAATGGAACGCTAACTCAAAGCTGGAAACCGCAAAGAGAAGCCAGTTCCTAGTAATCCAGAAAGGCGTGGCTCTAGATGGCCAGGTTTGAGCAAGTCTTTGAATAATGCATCTTGTAATCACTGATCAAATACCTGCTATATACCTTACCTTGTGTTGGGTCCTGGAGTTGATAAATCAGTCTGTGCTGTTAAGGTGTAGGAGAATGGGGACTGGGACCCAGATAGCCATCTTCAAGTGTGTATGAGGGATCTCCTTAGGCTGGGTTGTGTGAGCAACAGTTATTTCTAGGTCCTTCCTACCCTCTTACTCTTTGGCCTTCCAATAGCACCATTTGTTGCTTTTCTGCCCTTTTACATTTTCTGTTGTAAACCCACGTTCACTTCATAATCAAAGAGGACTAGCAATAGCTGTCATAATCCAGGGCACAGATATAAGCACTGGAGAGCTACTTAGTTTCACTGGTAGAAAAGGCTTTATGATAAAAATTGTCTCCCTGCCTTCCTGCCCCCATTGTCATTGTAACATGGCTTTTCTTTGTTGGTCTTCATTGGAGGATAGCAAAACTTATCCTCTCTCCCAGGTTTCAGAGAATTACTCCACCCATTTGCTAGGACCATGGTTACCCTGACCATTTCATTTAAAGAACCAGCGACCGCCCACCTGCCCTTAGCTTCAGGAACCATTGACTCCCTCCAGTTTCATAGGAAACCCACATCTTAGAGCAAAGGATCTTCGTAAGAAATGCAACAGTGTGCTTGGGAGTTCAAGTCTGTATTTAAGTTTTTTCTTATTAACTATAATACATCCTTATCCTGTATCTAAATGTGTAAAAAGTCATACACCCACATAACAGAGGACACGAGCATTTTACCATAAAATAGATCTCCATATGTCCAGTGTAAATCAACAGGTAAGTAAAAATATCCAGTACCAGAGAGAGATAAACAAGTTAGCAAATGATGATGTAGTGTCTGTTATTAAGTTACTTATACTTAAATCATGGTATAGCTAAGAAGAATTAGAGCCAAGTAGTGACACACATATCTGAAAGAACTTGAAGAAAATACAGGTTGATGTTTAGTTCACCCCATTTAGTGATAACACTCCTTCTACAGAGGAATGATTGTTGGTTGCTAATCACAAAAAGTTGCATTTTCATGGAACCACTAACCACAAAGAAAAATAATGTTGCTAATGGATAACCTATCAGATACTTCTTTATGATCCCCTCCCTGTAATGCTGGGGCAGTGGCTGGGGCAAGGCCGGTATCTTCTGCCTGTTCTCAGTCGGCCTGTGCCCTAGGACTTGGGAAAAGAGACCTAAGTCCGTGTAGTTTGTGGGTGCTTGAGACTTGTAAGCACATAACCGAGTAGTGGTTGGCAGTCTCTTTAATTACAGAGGGTGTATTTCTGAAAATAAGCTGCAGTTCACCCTGTCTCTTTACTCCAGATGTATCAGGTACCTTTTCGTGCCCACACTGGGTGGTCTTCCTTCCCACACTCCCGGAAATTTCCTGGCTTGAACAATACAGCCCATTCCCCCAGGCAGTCCTCCCATCCTCCAGCCAAGCAGCCACAGCTGGCCCACTGTGAATAGGAAGCAAGTCTGAAAGGCCCAGTGGCCGGGCCTCCCCCTGTTCTTCCACTTGCTGGGACAGATGGCAGTGTTTGGACCCAGGTGTATTAGTTTATTTTGTCGCGTGCAGTGTGATCTCGGGAGTCCCACATTTCCTCGCATCAGAGTTGGAGGCTAGGGCTCTGGTTCCTGTTTTATGGTTGAGGTTAGGAAAGGAGAGGTGACTTCCTCCTGGTAGTCATAGGAGGGAAGCTGTGTTTATGAATGAGACGCTCTTTTTCCTGACTGTGGGGGCCTTACTCTCAGAGCCCTGGGAGAGGATCGATGTCAAGTTTCACAGTCTCTGCCTTGATGGAGTGTGGGGAGCAGTAAAGTTGATGGAAGGGGGCTTCTGCAGGAAGAGCAGCTGGAGGTTTAGGGTTGGTGGGAAGAGCAGGGATCAGGCCTGTAGCTTCCTCAGGGCTGGGGTGTGGCATCTCAGTCTCAGTTGTGCCTGTGTGAGCACAGAGCCAGGCATAGACGTGCCGGTCACATGAACAGGTTGGACACAGATTGTTGGCAAGGGGCCAGGCCGGGAGAGCAACGTCTGCTCACCCCTGGGAGCATTTGTTGAGGCAGATGTAGCAGGTGGGTGCCAGCATAGCAGCATTTAAAGAGAAAAAAGTAATGACAATAACGATAGTCCCCCATGTGCACCTCCCTCCCCAACCCTCCATCGGGCCCCTGGGAGCCTGCGGGGGCCGAGTGCACACTCACACTTGCCCACCTTCACTCTGTCCTTGTTGTGTACATCGTGGCAGCCACTTGGAGAGGGTGCCAGAATTTATAAATTGCTTCTCTTGCCCTCAGAAAGCATCTTGAAGTTACTAAGTGGGTAAGGCAAGGGCATCATACTGTCAATAATGGCCACTGTGGGTGGCTCCCAACAACTGCTCTGCCAGGTACCATGCAGAGTAGCCTTGCACTTTCTCTCCCGCCATTCTTGGCCCGGTGGTGGGCACTGAGGCTGTGCAGGTCATCGCCTCCCTGTGGGAGACACAGCTGGGAATTGGCTATGTTCTGATCGCTCAGTCTGTACCCATGCTGCCTTGGTGGTGAGGTGATGCTTAGCTGGGGAAGAGGGAGGGCTTCACATGCAAGGCAGTCTTAGAGGAGGGTTGTGGGCAGGAAGGGCGAGTGGTGCAGGAACTGGAACTCTGGGGCTCTTGGGGGATTTGACCGTTGACCTCCACCTTGTTTCCCCACAGAGTGCAGCAGCTGCCCCGAGCCCCGTGCTTGGCAACATTCCCCCCAACGATGGGATGCCCGGAGGCCCCATCCCGCCAGGTTTCTTTCAGGTATGTGCTGGGCTTGGGGTCCTGTGCTCTTCCTGTTTGCTGGGCTGGGTGGGTGGCAGGCAGGAGAGCAGGAGATCAGTTTGCCATGGTCTAAATACAGTTGCTTTGTGCTGGTTGAAACCCTCCCCTTCCCATCGCTTTCTCCCTGCTTTCCAGAGCTAAGAAGGAAGATATGGGATGGGGACACAGACACTTCCTGCGTTTGGTGTCCTTTCTGACCAGTTTGTTTCCTTCACACCAGCACCATAGGCGAGGCACCGTCTGCCCTTGGTTGGGGAGGTGGCAGGGCTGCTTCTGTGCCAGTTTGGAGCTTTCTTTAACAAAAGGCTCTTTTCTTTTCCTTTTTTTCTTTCTTTTTAAAATTTTTCTTTGTTTCTTTCATTTTTTTTTTTTAATGAGTAAACTGTTCTTTGTTTCTGTTTTGTTGCCGCTGTTGTTGTCATTGTTTATTTTGCCTGTGCAAACTACAAACCTTAGGCCTACTCTAAAAAAACAAAAAACCCACCATCCTGGCAGGTCTCAGAATCCTTTCCCTCTGGTTAACCACTTGATTTTTTCCAAGTGTGATCATAGATGGCATCCCACAAGCATCTGTGCCCACGCTGTGCCCACCACAGGCAGAGCAGATCCCACGTGGGTCCCAACCCCTGCCTTCTCTGGGATACCTTGTCGGGCTCTTTCTAGGGTGCTACGAAATCAGGCTTTGTTGGCTGCTACCACCCCTTCTGCACCTCCCTTCTCTCCTGGTGGCTCATTCTGCTTAAACCAGATTGGTACTGGGAATTGCCATCTTGGCGAGGTGTCAGTGTGCAGGGCTGGGAGGAGCTTTTATGATGAAGTTGTTGATTGTGACATTGCTCATTTGCCCAAGCCTGTCAGGGCCAAGCTCCAGAATTGTGCCCGACTCTCCATGCCTTCTGAAAGTCTGGCACTCCACAGAAGAATATGGGAAGAGCTGTGGCATAGACAGTGGGGCAAAGAGTTCTCGTCTAAGCCCAAGAATGCACAGCTGGGGCCAGTGAGGCAGAGCCCAGGGAGAATGTAGCACCCATGTTCATCCACCTGCGTGGTGACCCAGCAGGTGGCCCTGGGGGATGAGGGGTTCCTCGGCACTGGAAATACTGAACAAAGACAGGATAGACCCCTGTTGGGAAGGTCAGGGGCTTCCCTTGGTGGGAGATGACCTAGAAAATGCTTTGACTTTTGAAAATTTCACATTTTGGTTGATATTAGGGGAAGAGGGTTGTAACGTATTGCTCATAAGACAAGAAAGACACCAGTGAACTTTGGGTATCCCTTAAAACAGAAGCAGCAAGTTACCCAAGACCTTGGCAGTGAGAGGGGAGGGATGTAGAAATGGCACTTGAGGGTATATAGGTGGCCCAGTGTGTATCTGTATCCATTCCTGGCACACTGCTGGAACTGTCGCCTTGTCCAAGGTATGGAGACAGGTGGAGGGTCTGAAGCTCTAGGTCAGATCATACCAAATATCACTAGAGCCTTGGCTTGTGGTAGGACCACAGACCTACATAAGAGGGGCCAAGAGAAAGACCCTTGGAAAGACAGAAGCTGGGTTGGCTGCTGCTCTGCACTAAAGGAAGCCAAGGGGTGGGTATCCGACCTCCCACACCAGAGGCAGCTTCTTCCTGACCACAGCAGGTGGGTATTGCATGCCCATCTGAAAGCCTTTCCTGTTGGGATTCAGTCCGGTTGGGAGTTCTTACTGGGCTCAGGTGTCCTCATCCATAATGCTGGGGATGCCCTTCATAAGTGTACGTTGTGGCCTCCCTGCCTGGCAGATGGAGTCTATCTAGGAACCGAGTACCACGTTGTACCTGTGTGCAGCCTGATGGTCTCCAGGTATCTGTGGAGGCCACTCTGGTGGGAGTAAGTGGACAATAGCCAATTGAGGTTTTAAAAGTAGGTCATTGACTTTTGTTTTTCCCTGAGTCTAGGGCAAGGAACAGGTCTGCCTGATAGGTGGGCAGCTCCCAACTTCCTGCTTTAGTATAATTGTCCATGGTCGAGACCTAATTTTGGACATACTTCCTCGGCCCTCCCCTGTGACATTTGGGGGTTGTATGATCAGAAAGCCCAGACTAATTCCTATCCTTATTTAGCCACTGTAAGCTGCCATCAAGCAGAGGTGACTTTTGGACCCTCTTGACTTGAGATCATCTGTGTCACCCAGTCAGGGTGAACTGTCCAGAGCTGGCTGGGTCATCCAGCAGGGAGCTGCATGTCCTGTTCTCTGTGCGTAGCCAGGATGGCTCCGAATGATTGTTTCCTCACTTGGTAGCATCATTTTCTCATCACTTGGATTCAGAGGGACCAGGCAAGACAGCCTTGTCCTTCCTGGCCATGACGCTGACCACTTGGGCTGGATGCTTGCCTTGAGGGAAAGGGCATCTCTCTGGAAGAATGTCGTGGCAGCCCATTTCCGGAGCAGGTTGGCTTACAACAGGAATATTAGCTGTTGATTGCCACCCTGCCCCTCACTCATCTTGCAGGTGGCTACTCTGATATTAGAAGGGAAATAGAGAGATGATATCGAGGGCTTTATCTGCTGCCAACAATTGTACTTCTTCCCCTCCTTGGCCACCGCCTTGGCGGGCGGCTGTCATGGGGAGAGCTTTGCTCTGGGTAGGCTGGTTCAGCTGTGGCCATCCAAGTCCCACAGCAGCAGCCCAGTTTTCATGTCAGGGCTGCACCACTCCTAGACCTAAATTTAGAAGCCAGTGGGGCCTCTGACTTGGGTAAGGGAGCAGCTGTGTTTTCCCCATCCCAGCCCCTCTGAAAGCAACACATAGGACTTCCTATCTCTGGCCCCTGTTGCCAGGCTTCAGAGCTGTCCTGCCCATAGGTTGGGGCAGCCACATGTCAGACTCTGTGGGCTTTGTCCTCTTTGGTGTCCATGTTTCTAAGGTGGGCAATGCCTGTCTCATCCTGCGGTATGATGTGATGAGATACCTGGTATCAAGTTAAGGCTGGCAGGGAGATGATTTAGGAACTGATCTGACCACACCTCATGGTTGGGGAGTACTGTGGGGTTCTTGGGGGTCTTCATGAAATTTATCAAGGGTGTTCTAATTCCTTGTTATTTAAACAAAACAAAATAAAGCTCTGTCTTGGCCTCCCCGGTAGCTGGCATGTACTAGGGCCATGGTGCGTGCTTGAACTGAGTTTATTTGTGCTGTTCACATCACTGGAGAGGAGCCTCTCCAGGCCTAAAGCCGTCGATCCAGCATTCTGGACCAGGAAATGTCTTAATGGGAAGCTGGCTTGGGAGTCCAGACTGGTACTCTGGTCTTGGCTCTACACTTGCTAATTGACCTTGGGCAAGAGGCTCCCATCTCTGAGCCCTGATTTTCTCACCAGGAAACAGAGCAGACTGGACCAGATGGTCTCTAAGGGCCCTTCCAACTTTGATTTTCTGCTTTGGATCCAGGCAGATTTTACATAATCAAGCAGTGCCCCACCCCCACCCCCATGCAGTTTAACTTAGGCTGTGCATCTGGCAAACCCAGCTCAGCCTTGGCTGGGCCCACTGGTCTGGGTGGATTCTTAGTTCCTTGGCCCCTGGGGATGCTGTCCAGTAAGGATTTCTAGGTCCCCAGCTGGGGAATTACAGGAGAGCAGGGGTCACAAGGAACAGAGCACTAGGTACAGGCTGTTTTTGTTCTTGTTTTGTTTTTAAATTCCAATAATTGTTTTCAGTTGTGTCGTGTTTTAAAATGTGCAGCTTGCTTTCACTTTGACCACAGTGTTTTTCTGCAGAGGAGGTGTGGCTGGTTAGGAGAGAGAGACTCAGGAAGGTGAATGGCCTGTCCCACATTATCAACCAAGGGCTGTAGCTGGAGACCAATCCAGGCTTTCTAGTGCTTCCACAACAATCAGAAGTCCAAGTGTAGGCCCCATGTCTGAATGTCGGGGGGAGAGAGAGACAGACTGTGGCCATCCTCTCTCAGAAGTAGCAAATAAATTTCCATTCAGATATCAGCTGGGCCTGACTCGCAGTGGCTGCTGGGAACACTGTGGAGAGTGACTCTGAGTCATGCAACAGGTACCAGTTAGTGATGTCTACCATGAAAATGTCTATTTACTTGCTACCTCAAACAGGCCCTTTTTATTCATAGATGTGGGAGTGGATCCTAGAGAGACAGCGGGTGGAGTTAGTGTGGTCATTGGCCACCCGTGATGTACAAGTCACCAGGCTTGGTTCTAGGCCAGAACTGAATCAGCCAGGTGAACCCACAGCCAGAGAGGGAGGTGGGGGGCTGCCTGCTCGCCAAAAGAACAAGCCCTGGGTGGATGTCTAGAATGAAGTGAGTGATGACTGGCGCCTGATGGAACACTGGAGAGGCTACCGGGCAGTTGTTAGACCTTGTTGGAGAAGGTGGGCTTTGTCCCCGGGGCAGCAAGAAACCCCTGGATCCTCTGGACTGACTAATGCCTGGCCCACATCTGTGTCCCAAGCAGTCCCTGCATGGTTGCTGTGGTGGCTCTGAGGAAGCAGGGATGAGAGGGCACTGTAGCCAGCGCTCCGGAAGTAGCTGATCACAAGGACATGGACGCTGGCCTTGCAGAGGCCCAGCAGAGGTCATAAGGTGAAAGACTGCGCCTTCTCTGGAAAACAGTCCTGGGGCAGCTGAGGGGCCCAGCTCCCTTTCTGAAAGCTCAGGCTGTCCTCCTCCCAGGGTAGTCAATTATGTTCTCCATTCTAGTGAATTCTTATTCCTGCCATCTAAGCCCACGTACCCAGACATGAGGTTGCAGGTGCTTCTCCTCTATCCATGTGGGGAGAGGACCACATAGAGCAAGCCATGTGCATAGCCCAGAAACCAGAGAAGTGGCCAGGCCAACAAGGGAGGAGACATGCGGGGCCCTCAGCCTTTACTGCTGCAGTTAATGGGGACACCTCCTCTCCTGTCTCTGGCAGACGGAGCTGGGGATTCCCCAGGAGACAAGCAGCCTCAAGAGGGCTCTGATGCCTGTCTGAA